CTTTAAGATTAAAAAAAACGATAATAGTAATCAGAGGAAACAATGCAACACAGACACGCGTAAAAAACCAAACAGGATCACTGTAAACACGTCAACTGACCTCGAAAATCGACAGGTGCCGCAACAGTCTCTGCTACCGAGCGACGAAACCGCGGTGGAGTCGAGTCCACCGCAGACACAATTGCTGAAAACGCGACAGAAGTATCAGCCAACGCCGAATCGCCGTTTGCCGGGGAAACCGACAACGTTACCAGCGACTACGACACCGGTCACAGAAGTTGCCACCACGACGGAAAGAATACCTGTTGCCACCGTGTTGCCGGATGACGCGATATACACGACGAGACCAAAATCTCGCACCGATGACGTGAAGCAAACACGGATTAGGGGTCGCGTCCGACGACCCGGAAAGAAACGGGTCTCCACCACTACCACCACCGAATCCGTGCTAGAATCGCACAACGAACTGCCACTAGACGAGAATTATCCGCGAGTTCGCCCGCAGCCAACGACCACCGAACAACAGGCGAATCTTTATGAAGATAGTTTTGATGGCACCTCGCAATTCGCGCAGAATCATAATCCTACAGCGCAACAATATTACGAGACGTCCAGCGAGAATGTGAGTATTTGGGTTGATATGAATTATTGAATTGGTAACAGCGTTTTAGAATTTTGTTTGTGAATTCATAAGTTTATTTGTTTAATGGTAATATGATTTAGATTGGATTGGTAAAGTCGGTTTTGGTTTTAATGTAGCATTTATATCTGAAAATAGGAATGAATATTGTAAATGGATATAGTGGAATAATTTAATGGAATTTAATTTAATCAAGTGGTCAAAATTTTTGACTAATCGTACATAAATTAATTTTTTCATAGTTTGTTGAAAATTTACAGTTTTTTGCTAGTGCAAAAGGGAATGCAAAAAAAGGATAAACTTTTGCACTAAATAGAAGTCTGTTATCTTTGTCAAATAAAAAGTTATTAATTAAGAGTTTTTAATTAAAATAAAAGGATTCAAATAATAAGTTACGAATTTAAATAAAAATATAACGAAAATATTATTGATTTAGATACATGGCCATATTAGGGAGGATTTTCCTGTTATTATGAGTCACAGTTGGACCAACGATTAGAAATTCGAGAGAGAATGGCTCCACGACCTGGTTTCTGTTTTGTTTTATTGATTTCGGTATGCGAACTTCGTTACGTGACCACGGGGCGTGAATAATGGCGGGGATAATGAGTTTCACGTAAGCTGTGATATGTAAATCCAAGAGATCTCGATACTCCGCTTTTTTTCGCTCGTTAATCTGCCGCTCAAATCAAAAGTTCGCTGTGAGGATTCGTAAAACAAATTAAAAATAGTTTTACAACGTTTAATGTACGGAGTCAGTTTTAACTTTAAGGTCGAGTTGCAGAAATAGGAATTATCAGGCCTTATTCATCATGGTATTAAAGAAAATGATGTTATCATTTATAAATTCTATACAACCTTTGTAGCTATAAATTATTGTTTTTACAAACGGAATTTCTCAGAATCTGTTTATATAAATAAATTTCTTATTTGACATCAAGTATCATAGCAGCACTCATAAAAGTTCCACAGAATTAAACAAATTTTCTTAATGAAACGGAAATTGATAAGATAAAAATTTGTATACTGACTGCTTCCTTAACATTCTTGCATCTCACAGATCCAGCAGTTTGAATCAAACATTCATGCTTCCATGAAAATCAATTATCAAGTTTTTACAAAATTTCACAGCTTTCTCCTAGCTCCAGGTAGAAGATAATTTTAGTTCTCCGCTTTCATCGAAATCATCATTTCACAGAATCAAACAAGATCACAGAATAAATCGGATCGAAATAAGAATCCACATTTGTTGCATCACGAATTATATTTTTCGTTCTTCGTTCCTTACTCGTAAAAGAAAGACATCTTCCTACTTACCTATAACGAACAAAAAAAAATAAATGAAATACCATCATGTTCATTTCAGTATCCCTCAGAGTTCATCCTGAACTTCGGCAATTATCCCCAACCAGCTGTGCAAAGAGAGGAATATGATCAGACGCAGCTAGCCAGCAGTTCTCCGAGAAAGTACAGCGAAAGCTTGCCTGGCAAGCACATATCTGAAGACTCGAGCCCGACGACGGTCGACATTTACGGGGCGGAGAGCCAGTGGTCCACGAAATTGACGAGGACCTCCTTCCAGCCGAGCTTCGCGGTGAACCAGCTGACTGGAGAAAAGCCGAAGGACGCGGATCGCGAATGGGCGAGCGGATCTTCGAAGGACGCGCCAGACATAATTACTGCTGCGCCGGAAATTTCATCCGTTACTCTGCTTGTTTCATCGGATGATAAAACGGTGGACGTGGTAGCCGCTGAGGAGTCGTTGCTGATGGGCACCACGGTGTTCGGCAAGAAGACCAATATACCGGATCATACTGAAAAAATCAATACAAATGCGGGTGTCACTGGAGCACCTACGACGGCGACAACGCGAGAGAAGAATGGAAGTGATATTGAGGCGAACAATGATGGGGAATCCTGGTTGATGGATAAGGTGGAAGGTTCTGTAGAGCAACAGACCGCTATTGATTTTGAGAAGACGCGGAAAAAGAATTCTGACGCTCCTGTTGGCAGGAAGGTGAGACGCGGATTGCTTGAATGGTTGGTGGATTGAATGGTATTGCGAAGTAAAATAGTAGATAAGTAGTTGGTCTTATTTATCGTGAATTTGGAATTGGTGGATTCACGATTTTAATGTTTAAGATTGAACTTACAGAGAAAGGCAGTTTTACTTTTTTAAAACTGTGCAATGATAAATAGTCTTCTTCATAACCTATTTTCACTTTGTTTTAATATGTCTTCATGTTTCTAGATATATTTTTATTCGAAAAATGTATTGACGTTTGAACTATTCAAATTGTTTCCAAATAGTTCAGAAATTAAATACATAAATATTTATTTTCGCATTGTTTTCGAATTTATCAAAAGATAATAAGATGCTTATTTTCAAATAGTATTCAAATTGTTTAGAAAATAAATAGGCACTTATTTTCGAATTTTACTTAGTTAAAACAGTTTAAACATTCGAGCTTGCACGACTCCACGAAACCCTTGTATTCCATTTGTTCCAGGGCACTCGAAGGAGAAGGGTCCGCGTCCGAGTAAGACCAGCGGTCGATGACTTCGTCACCGCAGAATCACAGCACTACAACTCCGCCCTGAATGGTTTGTTCCGCGAGCAATATAAATACAATCCCATCCGGGAATCGAAGCTGCCAACCCCGCAGCCGATCTTATCCGAAAAATCAGTATTCCAAGGCTTTCTAACCGACATTCTAAAGAACGACGAACCAACAGTGAAATCAACGACCACCGAAATACCGGAAATGGCTTGGACGATGTCTCCTGCGATAACAACCATGCTAATCCCCGACGACGCCGAAGAAACCACCGAGAATCAAATGACCACAGTGCCTCCAACCACGGAAAAACCGGAAGAAACGACAACCGCTAAGCCTGACGAAGACAATCATCCACAATTAACGAACTCTGACGGAAAGACAAAGGACTCGGAGAAGAATTCATGGTCGGCGAACGGGAGTAATGACGAGAAAAAAAAGATAAAAGATCAGTGGGACTCTGACAAGAACGACAACTGGAACGGGCGTACCGCATTGGATCTCAACTTCCTCGCTGACAAATATACTGCCAAAGAGAACGATGTGAGCAAACCAAACGACGACTGGGAAACGAGTCGCAGTGACGAGGAATCGGTTAAGACTCAATTAAAACTGACGCACGAGGAAACAGAATTATTAAGCAAAGAAAACTTAGCAGTGAAAGACGATCAACGATCAAAGGACGAAGTTTACGCTCATCCTAAAAATCACAGGACCAAATGGAGCGAAGTAAGGTTCCCTTCTACCTTCGACCAACCCCAAATCTGGAACCAAGACCCGAAACCCACCCCTAGATCCACTACAGCCATCCCAGGACTAGTAAGCAAGGACGATGGCGACGACAGCGTGAAGACTCTATCAGACTACGTAAAAGCTATCTTCGACACCATGAAGAACGCTGAAGAAGACACTACTGTAACCAATACCGAAAAATCAGAGGAAGTTATTACTACCTTGCAAACACCTTTGGCAGCTGAATCAGAGTCTTTAGAGGATGAGAAGACGACTACGAAAGATCCTGATATTGCAACAACCGTGGAGACTAATTTTGATGTTGAAGACGCAAAGACAGTGAGGGATATAGAAGCTAGCAGGGAGACAACTACGGAGGCGTATATTGATCCGGAGAACGCGACGACCTTGGAACGAGCTGCCACGACCTCGGAGACCGTGACGACGGGGTCGCCGACCGAGCCGCCGGCCACGGACCTGCCAACGACCACGCCGACATCCACCACCGTTGCAGCTGTTAACTCGACTGAATCGATGCTCGGCAGGGTCCTGCGAACCTCGACCACAACTAGGGTGTCCCATATGACGGAGATCTGCTACAGAGGCCGCTGCGTGATGACCAGGCCCAGCCAGGACGATCGGTTCAGATGAGGGGACAAGCGAAAGGTCAAGCGTAATCGTCGCTCCTCTGGATCCGAAGGACGAAAGGATCAATGAAAGGGGAGTGCCTCGTTGATCGCGATCTTCGCACCGAACGTTTTTCTTCTCTTATTTATTCGCACGTCTCGAGAGGTGAACGTTCCAAAACTTGGAACTTGGGTCTAACAATCGGAACGACTGATTCGTGACTTTCTTATGGTGTAAGGAGAAATTTGTATTGTAATTTAAATTAATTTATTTTGTGATTCGAGAACCGAAAGGTTTGGTGGGCTGGTTCGTGGCGAGGGAAGTCTGTAATCCGTCGTTTCATGGTGAGTTGGGTCCGATGTTTATGGTAAAACGCTTGGTGTGTATGATGACTTTTTAATTCGCCTCACAGAGTTTTTGGTGTACCAGGAGAGTGGGAAGATTTCATGACGGATCTGTAATTGTTCCGTTTTGAGAATGATTTCGTGTTTCGAATGTAACTCGGATCTTTGTGTGAGTTTATGATTTTGTAAATTAATTTGTGATGTGAATGTTAACGTCAGATATTGTTTTTTTTCTCATTGAAGAATTCGTTAGATTTAATGTAAAATAGAAATTTTTTTAATGTACCGTAAAATGTAATTTATTGAGGACTTCTTGATTGAAATTTGTAATTACAATTTACATTTCGTCACAATATTACTCGTCGCTATTTTATTATGCTAATATCGACAATAATTTCTGTAACAGTATAAATTGTCAAAAGAGTTAACCTCAAAATTCAAGAGCGATGGCGGCCATATTGGACATCCTTGGCGAAGTAACGCTCACACTATGTAAAAGCGTTCAATATGCATACATCTCCATAGCGAGATTATTTCAGAACTCCCATTAAATATAACATTTCCCTCGGGATACGCCAATAAACTTCGTGAAGTTAATAGAGAGTCACCATGTACATATTCAGCAACGAAGAGTGAGTTTCCTCGAGTTCACCAGATGCATGGAAAACTGTTGAAAAGTACTTACTTAAATGTGGTAACGTTCGATGAGGGAAGTGAAACGCACCGATTATACGAAATTGATCGTATTGTTTTTTTGGAATGAAGGGAAAATGCGGAGAATGCCAAAAGCATTTCTGGCATCCCTCGACGCCGGCAGCGATGCGATGCGCGAACCGGTGTCCGGCAGCGTCGTTTTCCGAACGATGATAGCGGGCTAAGTCTATTTAACTGAATTACATACCAACCACCGGTTGGTATACGTGTAAGTTAAGCGTTTAAGTATTTTAATAAAAACAAGGAGAAAGCAACGGCCCCGTTTCGCACGCGAACCAAGTCCTTTGACTCCCTGCGCTGACCCAGTTTACTGCAGCCGCCTGCATATTCACCGATAATCCGTGAGGTAATTTCCACGCGAAGAAACAAGTTGCACACGCGAAATAATATTTCTCTCTCGTTCGTTTTTGATCGAGTCGATGGTACCGTGTCAATATCCTACTTAATTGCAGCAATTGTTTTAACAATGGTAATAATCTATCAATGAATTCGAAGCATGGTCGAATGTGTCAGTAATATTTTCTTCGTATGTGGTGCCTATCTTATAATTACTTTAGATTGATTACATCGATGTTGACGTTTTATAGTGCCTCAGTTGTTACGATAACAATAGCAGTTTATTAATACTAAGATTGATAAATAATAAGAAAATTGTCTACTTTTTATATATATTTTTAAATACTAGAATATTCTTAAAACGATAGAAGAAGATAGAAACGCGATGATTATTTCCAAAAATGGTTAGCAATACTACAAAATATTAAGAATGGAATCCGAAATATTTTAAGAAATTAATTTATTAAGTTAATTTACCTTTTGACTGTAAAAAAATCTAATTATCAATTCAAGTAGAAAAGAAGACTCGCGATTTTTGATCGATAATGACTATATGGCCGCTAATGCTGTTTACAATCCGATGTACTCGAATTAGGGCGTCCCTTTCGAATTAAGGTCAAATTTTATGGAAACTTCGTCAGGAGCCGAGATTCCGCGGTAATACGAGCGGAGCCCGAAGAAAAGAATGGAGGAGTCGGTTGTTGAAGCTGAAGGGATTAAATGACTCGGCGGGAAACAGCGCCAAGAGTAACGTTTCCCTTATTGTACCCTTGATGTTCTTTGTACCCGCGCTTCCCACCCTCACGCTTTCCTTTCAAGAAGAGAAACTGACTACTCCGTCGGACGCTCCCCCCTTTCGCGTTAAATTGAGCTAACAGACTCGCTGCGCCGGCTGGAGGTTCAATAGAGTTCACCGACCCAGTTGCATCTCCCCTAATTATCCCCCCATTGTTTTTATCGAACATTTCTCGATTCGTACCCGGGCTTAACTTCGGTTACGCAATCCGGATCGACTATGCAAACCCGTTCACGCGATTGCCGGAACATTTTCGCGAAAAGGGAGGGGAATATCGACACTCTTCATCCCTCAGTGTGAAATTGAGAAGATTGCCACTGGAAAATTCTTAATCGAATGGTAAACATTGAAACGTGTTTAACGAGGAAGAAATTGGAAAGTTCGATCGTCGATAAGAGGAAGACGAGTGCTTCTTATGAAGTATGTTCGAAACTTTCTTTCGTTATTACAAGTGTTTACTGATGGGAGTTTGCTGAGTCAACATTAAATTCATGTGTAAGTTATTGAACAGACAAATTAACACACGTTAATATTTAACGTAAATTCTCATTTTCGTAGACAATATTCAGGAAACTTAGGTAAAACAGAATTTTATTTCATTTATATAATAATAATAATTTAACATATAATATATAATCTAGATCTATATTAAATTCTTAAATTGAATTTGTAAATAACCATTCGCTGGAGGTCCTCAATTATTATTTTTTAAAATTCAAAAGTAAATAAAAATATCCCTATAACTAGGAAGGCCCCTAAAGCTTTAGTAATCGGTTGGCATATGCTAAAAGTACCCTAGGTCAAAGTTCTATAGAACCAAAGGCTCCAACTAGCCAACCAGTGGGCACAGAGAGACATGACATATCCAGAATTAGTCCAGACTATAATGTCTAACTGTCATGGAAGAGAATCTGTGTATTCATCAGCCAGGTAGGCTACCAAGTCCTTGAGACTCTAGTTCCTCAGCTTAGCACTGATGGGATTCCGAGGATCAAGGTTAGGGTCTCGTTAAAACAAAGTCTTCAGCTAACCATCCAACGGAATAGAATAAGTATTAACGATCCAAAAGGGAACTAAACAGTACTAAACACTGATTTCCAACTGCCACGAAAAAGAAGGTGAAGTGAAACGAAGCGAAACAAAGTCTCCTATAAAGAAATTTCACACCAAATCGTTAGCTAATTTCCCCACTTACAATTAATTTTAATTCTTCCACGATTGTGCTACAGGTTTATAAACATCTTGTACCATTCTTTATTTAAAGCCATTTATTTATTTTAACTAATTGCTTTTTCAAATTCGGTCACCTCACAAAATGATCTGCTTTCAACAGCAGCGTTCGTAGGAGTCGGATCCACTCCGAAATATCTGGTTTGTTTATCGGTGCGCGAAGATAGGTGATTCGACGGGTGGAATTATCGAAGCGGCCCGGATGTCTCATTACGATCATTTTCCAATAGCGCCGCTTTTCCGGCCTGTCATAGCGGGCTACATAAGTTTTAGGCGTTGGTGTGGGGCATCGATTCCCATCGATATCTGCGCCACGCGAACGACACCACTGGCACTTTTGATGGCCACTTCGGCTCCGGAAATAGGGAATAATGTGTTCGACAGTGTCTCGAAATAGAGTGACGCCGGGCGAATTCAGAGTGTGCCCTTGACACCACCGAAAGAGTCAATTTCCCTCGTCAGGGACTTCCCCGGTGTGACGCTTTCAACGACCGGCCCATATTTAAGGATTCCACCACCACAGCCCGCGGAAGTAGAACTCGAAGCGCCGTTTGAAAGCCGCGTTTCCGATCGCGGCTGAGAGGGACAGGTGCTTTAAATGGATAATTTCGATATAAATATTCTCGTCCTGTCATACGTGTACCAAATATTGTAAACGGAATATTTTTGGAATTCTGATTCCAGTGGGAAACGATATTTCAAATATGTATTTGGAACATATTTTAATAAGCAGTCATGTTGAAATTTTTGGAGGAATTTTGGGAAATTTTGAAACATTTTCAATAAATCAGTCCAGTTAAATGCAATTTTTATATGATTTTGATACACAATTTCTTCTTTTGTACGTATTATTAACATTATTTTTTATATACTAAATACAAGGTGTCAAAATAAATCTAGAGCAAATAAAAATTTTGTCGTAAGGGACTTTATTTCCGAGGTAATCAAGTCCGGAAGTTTGCTTCGCATTGCATAGCCTTGGTATATGGAGGAAGTGGAAATGATAAGTTATGAACAGACATATTAGACTTTGACGAATAATAAGTTTGAGAAACGATAAGTTCCACAAAGTCATGTTATACTATATAATATAAAGTTATTCTACATTCTCCACTTACTTCTTCATATAGACGAATTCTCCTTCCAGTTGTGCCACGATTTAATGAACACCCTGTGCATCGAACACAATTATGAACGAGATCTTCTGGTAAGATGTTGGGAATTATAAAACTTTAAGTAATTCAGTGCTTAGAGTTTGTTGTTGAGCCTCGATTCTCGTGCGACGAAAACTAGCACACTTGTGACCTAAAATTTAAAGGTTTCCTTAAAGGTTTCGTTAAAGACATTTACAATCGTTTAAACTTTCTCAACGAGCAATCTACTGTTTCTTACTCTAACTGGCTATAGAGTTCAAGTTTAAAACAATGTCCCTGAAGCTCTTGTATTCAAAAGTGTTACAAATCGTTCGACGACTACAGCAAATTACACGATACAAAACATTGCAACAGTGCAAGCTGTCAATAACAACAAAAACTGATAGACACGAGTATTGCCATTTAACATATCAGCATTAAACACTGACCTGTGAATAAATATTGACAATTTTAGTTTTACCAATTTATTCGATATTTCTTTACGGTGTGATAGGTAGTATAATAAAATATTGATTTATATTCTGACTATAGTTAATTGTTATACTAACTATTTTTATTCAATATTATCTTTATACATCTAAACTGATACTAAACTGTTATCATAGTTTATTTCAATTACATCGCTTCCTAAAGATGTCTAAAGACATCCTAGGTCAATAACGTTCAGATTATGGAAAACGTCTCACGATATTCCCATTCATTAATTCGTTAAGAAAGCAAATCACCGATTACTTTAACGGGCGTTTATTTGTCATACGATTATGCGCGATTTTTCATCTAATCGACAAAATGTAGTAGCGAACCAAAATGAAAATTCCGAACGTGAGTGGTTGCTAGGGGGTGGGGATAGGGTGCAAGCCTGTTAACTGAACCGTTAACCCAATTTTTGTATGGCACGTGTAGAACGTGGTCCTCGATGGTGTCACATGGTCCGGAAAACGTCGTGTGAAGGAAAATAAAAAGGAGGAAAAGGGGATGTTGCGTATATCGTAGCGTAGTCGAGCGAAAAATGGCGTTCGCAAGCGATCGATCGCCAGTCGCAGCCGTAGTTCGCCACAGATGGCGGGACTACGCGGAAATGTTTGCCCGTTTCACGGAAAAGAACACCGATAGTAGTGAGTCATGAAGCAATGACATCGAAAGCGACGCTGCACTGCCGTACGCGGCGAGTTTTACGCGGGCGGAAATGATATTCAAACCGGAATCGAATGAATTTATCATTTTTGTTTACTCTTTTGTGTCAGCTTCAAATTTTTGTTATTAACGTCTTCTTATCATTCCTTCTTATAAAATTAATTCAGAATTATAATGAAATAAAATGAAATTTTAGTTGTCGATCAAATTTGGCACATCGAAACGGGAATTGGTATTAACAATGTTATTCTTTCCCTTGATGTCATGTAATTCGCTATATTATGAATGGTTTTTTGGTAGTGAAGATACTGAAATTTGAAAATTTTCTCAAATAAAAAAAGAATATGACCATTTTTGAACTTGATTTAACAATTTAATGAGGAATGTAAAGAATAGTAAATCGATATTCAATTCAGTTTAATGATATTTGACAATAATCAAATTTATAATCAATTCATCATTGAATCATTATTACAGAAATATAAATAATATCAATATCTCTGTACTAATATATAAATAAATCATAATACTAATATTCATAATGTAATAACGTTGCATTATCATGAACACGCTACGAAAATAGCAATAAATTAATTTCGTATCAAATCCCGTATCAAATCCCGTATCAAATACCATCTCTTTTCGATGTCAACTCTACCAAGTAACAAATGATCGAAAAACCCCTTTCAAAATTCAATTAAACAAAACTACGGAACACAGCTACAAAATTATCTCTAAAACACATACAAGTCTCATATAAACACAGCAATCCAATCACCCCTCAAATTAAGCAACAGAAAATAATTTTCCATTCAACATTATCAATAAAAATTCACCTTGATCAGACAACAAGATCATTAGTCAAAGAACACAACCCAGACGTGTCACACCTGCACTACTCCAACCACTTATCGAACCAACGGTTATTACCTATTAAAAACCGACGTCCCATTCACCGTTCCCAAGAAAAACATTTCGTATCAAACAATGACCAAGAACCGCCTAAAAATTGATTCCATGTCGCAATGGTGGCGCCTCGGGGAGGGTGGTCGAAAGCTGGAAAGAGAGAGCGTCAGGTGGTGGGAGACAAAAGAGGACGTCGAGGAGGGAGTACCTGAGGGTTGCATAGAGGGAGCGAGTTCAGTTCAGGCGCACGGGTCCTCGGTTAAGGACGCGACGGTCCTGCTAATCGGGACACCATGCCAGGCGGCGCGGGGTCCCCGATCAATCTCCTCGGCCATCGTGCATCGACCACTTCCAGCGAGTGCGCGAACAGTGACGAGGATGAGAGGACGACGGGCACCTTACCAAGCATGATGACGACCGTCCTCGCGGGCGACGGACTCAGACGGAGAAAGGTCATCCACGCGGCCAAAGAAACCCTCGACAAGGGTGAGTCTGCAGCCACCTTTCGCTCCCTCTCTCTCACCCTTTCGCAGTACCCCCATAACACCGTTCGATGGAGCGAACATAGTGACTCTTCTCGTGGACACAACGCCGTCCTAACCGGAAGCTCTGGGCATCGTAGGTTCATTGGGTTGATTATGTCTCATGCGCCAACCCCTAGATGCAGGTGCCTTATGATCATCAGAGAAGACGCTAGAGAAATCGTAGAATAATTTTCTACCGAAGGTAAAGGAGTGTTTCAGTCAGTGAGACAGTTGGAGGAAGAAAGGTCTCTGAGCTGACTCAGGGCCGTAGGAACTGTCTCCATTTGGATTTGGCTGAGATGTCGTTTTGAGAGTCTGTGTCGATGAAATTGACATGAATTGAAGACAACAAAGACTAGATAACGTGCAGCCTTGTTTGGTCTAGCTTTGTGAATGATTGTCAGTGGCTCTTGAGGAGACAAGTGAACATTTATTTTCGAAACAGATTTTCGTATTTTGATAGTTCCCTGTCTGTTGATTGTAGATTTGTACAATGGATGGTTGTGGGAGTTAAAATGAGTGACGATGTGGGCCCATTGGATACGGCCCTGCGATGACTAGCTTTCCGCGCAGTAAAAATTATTTTGGTTTTCAATCTGCGGATGGTTTAAGGTTTAACGGGTTGTTTGGAATGGATTAGGGAATGCCATGGTGTTTGTTTCGTTTTGGCTACCACTGGTCGGTATTTATTTTCCTTAATCTTTAGTAGCTTCCTTTCACTCCCATCCCGTTGTCGGTCTGTTATTATGTAAGCTAGTGCGAAGAGACTATAGTAGCGACCCTCTTGTGCAATCTCGGCTGCATCCTCAGTGATAAACATTGAATCAAACCTCCCCCAAATATCGGACCGCTGTGTGACTCTCTCGCGCTCGTGTCTCGACGACTCTCTTCGCGGATTTTTCGTGAATTAGTGGAAATGGAGATGCACAGTGCACCAACGAGCAATGAACTATACCTTTGATTGGATTGCAATGGACGATGATTAAGAAATGAATCGTTCCAGTACACTTTTACTGATAATAAACACTGTGCTTCACGTATCAGGAAATTTTTAAATTTTTATCAAAGTTTCTGTATATGTTACAGAATCGTGTAATGTGTTTAAAAAAGAATTATTATGATTTATTATTATTTATTATGATTTACTATGACATTATTTTTTTTATAAATCATACTATTAAGTTAAAGATTATTTAATTTTATTGTTCTATATTTTATATGTGTACATAAACATTCAATATAAAGTTATTGAAAATTAACGTTTTGTTTCCGGGAGAATGGCCTTGAGATTGTTGTGGATAAGCGTGTTTACATGTCCAGTAATCAATGAATATCACGTTTCACTTGTTTTATTCATTCACCATACAACGATAAGTTAATTTATTACCTATCTCATTTACGAAATATAAATAGCATTTAGTAACTGATTCATACAAATTTTATGTCTCAAGACAGAAATAATATATTCTTATATTGTTTTTTATATTTGTTAGTTTATGTTATTTCAACAGTGACCTATCATAAAAACGCTTTTCACCGACTTCATAATACAGTAACTGATAAAATCATTACTAACTCAAATTTTATTAACAATCTGTTAGAATAATATTAACAATATTAAATGTAAATTCATATTATACTTAAGAATACTGATTATATTCGAATATTGTTAAAAAGAATAATCTAAACCATTATGTCTATGATGTCTGGAAGAAATCGCCATGTTTGTGGAATGTAGTCCCAGGTATGACGTTTTCAAACAAATTATGTGATTTAAATCCTTCTGTGGATAAATGAAACAAACCACCGGCAACCAGCTTTGGAATCACCCGGTTTTGAGCAGCTTTTGGTTTTAGGAAAACAAAGAAATTACCAACCGCGCGAGTGTTATAAATCCGTCGTTCGAACGGATACTAAAAATACGAACTTAACCCTTTTATGTTGACAAGCAAAATGTCTGCATTTATCCAAATTTTAATATTACAGTATTTTTGGATGAATTCTTTATTTTCGATGCAATAATCAACAAAAAAATGTTTAAACAATGAATATTTTTCATCTTTCAAACAAATAGTGTCCAATTTTCACGAGAATAAAAATTGCATAGAAAAAGTTTCAAAATGGGTACCCAGGTATATACTCGGTAGTGACGGTAACACGTTTGCTATCAATGTTACATATTTGTGACGGTCACCATACTATACTTCTTACTAAGAAAATTGAATAATAACATCTATAGTATTAATTTCATTTACATAAAAATATTTGTACTATTATTTTCAAGTCATAAAATACGATATTATATTTAAAAATTCAAAAACTCCTTTTACTTTCATTTCGTCGATACTTTATTTAAAAGGTTTGTCGAATTTAAAAGAATATTGCAACTGAGAAAGTCGTATTCAAAACAATTGGACCGTATTAACCTTTTGCGGACAACAATTTTTCTCATTACAAACATACTTGTAATTGTTTACAAACATACCAACAGTTTGTAATAAAATATCACTGACGTTTTTCATACCTGGCATAAAGAAGAATCATGCATCAATTAACACGTTCGCTACCAGCATTTTAGTAACGATCTTCTCAATTGTAATCCAACTATTCAATCCAACAAATCTAAATAAGATATTGATGAAATGAGACTAAAATGAGTTATTGAGATCCTAAATATAATGTTGTATCCTATAACTTTAACTAACAATATCTATAGAATTAATTTCTTCTTCTTTATGTAAAATATAGGTCTGCAGCCGTTACGAACATGTGACGTTGATAGCGAATGTGTAAAAAAACAAAATTATTCTATTTTAACGCGTCATGTGTCAATGCATTATATAATATTTGATACTAAATATTTAATTTTATCATTTTTCCGCAACGAATCAAATGGCAGCTGAAATTCCCTTCTCGAGTGCAAAGCATTAAAACAACGAGAACCATATCCGCCTCGCGGTTACGAAACCTCGCGTAATTGGTTCGTGACGTGGGCCTGTTTCGTGCATCTGATCACCGACGGTGATTTTCGGGGGTTACGGCCGCCTATTTTCGTCGAGAATCGATCTTAGCCACCGAAAATCGTACACATCACCCACCCCCTTTCTACCGAACTCTTCTTCTTTCGCGGAAAACCTCATCCAGCTTTGATTGCAGCTTATCTCCCTTTCACCTGCACACCGTCTTTTGATTCGCAGTGCAACTGTGTACCAAGGCTGGAATGAATATACCGGGTGACCCTCGTGACCCGTGAAAGTCAACGAGTGGGGAAACTTAACCCTTAAGTACTACAAAAATTTTGACGTATTTTGAACGTAGTTAACAAACAAATTTTGTTTTTCACCACAAATAACATCTTTCAAACTCTTGTAACCTGTATAAAGGAGCCTTCTTTCTTCGTTTTTACTTAGTTTTAGTTTAGCTGACAAAGAATTGAAATCTCTTCTTTTTATTACTTAGAAAGAAACATCAGAACTGTTGCAATATAATATTACAGTTCTTACTTTTCCGCTACTGTTGAGTTATTTACATGACTAAACATTTTTTCCTGTGTTTTGCTTTATGAAGACTATTATTTACTATCATATTGTTGAAACTATTTTATTACACGAAATCGTTTATTAAAATTTAGTAGTCAAATAGCAGCTATTAAATAATATTATTGATTATTAATTATAAATTCAATTAGTATCTCCGATCACAAAGGCCTATAAAGTAAAACTTATCAATTTGTTATCTTCCACCAAGAATATTCCAACGATTGTCCGAAAGCTAGTAATAATTTAACATAATACTCCTTATAAACCATCACGAAAATGATAACAAAACAGAACTTTATTTCTTTAAAAGATTAAAAAAGAATTAAGAAAATGTGAAATAAAACAAAAACTTTGTATGACACTCATTGTGTTTGATCACAAAGAATATAATAAAATAACACATTTCTTAGGACATGTGCAAAATCTTTGAAAACTAAGGAAATAGAATAACAATTCTTTATAATACTCTCAAGGAATGGCCACGAAGAATGAAATAAAAGAAGAGTTTATTATCCGTAGAAGCATAGAAAAAGTTTTTAAATGCGGGCAATAAAGCTGCCGAAACCCATGTAACATGGACTTCACGCAGGACAAAGAGAAAAAAGTGTATTTGGCTTGGGTCCATAGAAGCGTCATTTTACGAACCGATGGACTATTTCTCGATGAGGTGGTCGCTCGAGAATTTTCCAAACCTAGAACGATCGCGATGTTCACGAAATAAGGATTTGAGGAATGTTTGCTTTGGAATGGCTAAGTGGCCGGTATGAGGGTGTGTGTTTGTATTCCAGGGGGGTGAGTACGCTCAAGGGCGACTGGCTGTAGAGAACGGACGTGAAAGAGGGGAGTTTAGAGCGAGAGTCGAGAGACAGTAATGACTAGGTCGGGTTTTGAAGCACGTAGATTTTAGGAACATTTCGGTAACTAGCGCGTCACTGAAATAAATGTTAAATGTCAGGAATGATTACAATCTAAAATTAGAAATCTGAAAACATTTTACTCCAATTAACTACCTCTTGCAAAATAAAATGATTTTTACAGGATACAATGATTCCTTTACCACGTACTTTCACGTTTAGGTATAGTCGGTTTGAAATTTATTGTACGAGATGACTTTAAATGCAAAGATTTCAATAAATTATTTTTAAATCAACGCGTTATCGTAACTAAGAATTAAGTTACCTTATTTACAATCTTTTTGTAACTATAGCAATTACAGACGTGAAACAATAAAGACTTTTAAACAATATAACGATTCCATTTTTGGGGAATTATTAATTATAGAAAAACTATTGAACTTCTGTTTGATGTAGCACAAGCGTGGATTGAATTAATATAAGAGATAAGTTATTCCGATAAGTAAAGCGTTAAGATTTTTTACTTTTAAGATTCCTACGTAGTATTATCTTTCTACTGAACTTTTTTC